AAATACACTTGCTTTTGTAATTGCAGTGATAAGATCAAAATAATATGCTACTCCATTGTTTGTACTAGCATAGGATGCAATATACACAATCAGAGATATTGAGTAGAGTGCTGAGGATTCTATCACAACTTCAATAATGTGACAATAGGCTCTTTTCTTGTTTTCTACTTGAATGCTTCTTCTTGTAATTGACCATATGCGATATACAATGAGCAAGGTACACCATAATGTTGAAGCTAACATAAATGATGCAAAAAGCACTTCATTATGATATGCCTCTGCTCCATTACCATGAACCTCACGAGTGTACCGCCGATATGTGTCAAGGATTTTAAGTGCTGTAAAAGTTAAACACAAAAGAAAGAAAGAGAGATATTATCATACCAGTACTAGCAGTTAAACAAAGAGTAGGAAAGAGAATAATTTTCCAGCATTGTCCCCAGACCATCCAGCAACGCCAAATCTAAAATTTTTAAACTCAATAATATATCAGTACTGTAACACATACCAGAGTAGAGTCTGCAAGAACAGTGCACAAACCACTGACAACACCTGACCCCAGTACTATTACCATATTATTGGTGTGAGTAAACTGGGTCTGTTGGTATATAGTCCAATAGTTTGCTCCTTGGCTAATGAATCCAGAATATAGGTCTGACCATGCAAAGGCCACATTTATAAGAGTTAGGAGATAGAGAAGAATAATGACAGTGAACACAGTTCTTGAATAAGAACGAGCCTTGCTAGTGACTGTAAAGAATTTCAGTTCAGTATAGACAGAAGACAATGTTTCTCACAAATATTCCACAAGATAACAAGAATAACACCAGTGTATATGCCTATTCAAGATGAGATATAATATTTCCCAGAGTTAAAAGAATAAGCACACCATGTAATAGTGAGAAGCAGATTCTTGAATTCAATATAAAGTCAAGCTCATGAAATATAAAGGCTATATCATCAGCAGTAAGCTTTGCTGGGATTTCTGTATAAGCAGTCATTGATGACCACTGAAGCCCACTTATACAGAGGAAGAGAGTTAAATATGAGGATAATAGTACTGTACAGAAGTACACTTCTTTTTATGTATGACATTGGCATTACAGATGAATCATGGTAGCTCTTCTAAGAAGATGATATTGTATATCATAGTGAAGAGAGGATTGTTTGCCAACATCTATCCATATGATATATTAAATCAAAGTATAGAGATATAAGGTATCTATAGAAATACTAGTATCATTGTCAAGGGAGATCTCAACACAGATCCATAACTTGCTATTCAGAATTGAGTAGAGCATAGAATTAAAGGACTAGTCACCTTATAAATCAATAAAAATCATATATGAGAGGCAGATGACTTTTTACTTACAAAACCCAGGATATACTGTATTACTTTAACTGTATCTTCACAGGATGTTATATGTTATGCACATCTTCACCCAGTTACATCTTCATTATGATATTGTCTACCTTAATAGGTAGTCCAGACCAAAAAATTACTGCTATATTGAGTAATTTAAGGCACCAATGGGCCTGTTATGTGTTACAAAGATTGCTGATCTTTACATAATGGACCCTCATTATGTGTTATGTCAAGATATAGCACTGCATGGAGAATCTAATATTTTCAATATAATTGTGATATTTGGGAAATTTCTAATATTGAAATAATATTCAAAATAATCTTTCAATATTCCAGCTTGAATGTTGGAAAAAAATTAATAGTTATAGAATTCAATATTTTGAGCTAAAATATTGGATTCTCCATGCAGTGTGGTCAAAATAATATAGTAGCTGAAGATTCTAAATTGCAACTTCATAATCTTTGTAACCAAGTATTTGTACATATGTCATTGTCACTGCAAAAATATCAACTGTTCTGAGTGTTCTCACACATAGCCTTTTGGACAGTACTGTACTATTTTGACCAGTAATTCACATAACATCTAGCAGGCATCTCTGAAGCAAATCTCCCAGTATATTGTAACACGTAACAATGGACAATGATGCTGGTAGACTACAGGTATCAAAAATATGATTTTTATGAGTCCAAAGTACTTTTTTGGCACCACTACATTAACATGGTGTTTTTATGCCTGATCCCACACATAATCTTATCTGATGTAGTGGTGGCGCTTGCTCAGATCCTGTGAAGCTAATTTCCTAGATGTAATGCATAACACAGAGCTCTGAGCCTCTAGTCAATTGACCATATAGCATAACACATAACAGTGCATAAAGCTATGGTCAAAATTGTACAGTATTTGGATGGAAACACAAATCATTGAATACACTGTAGAATCAGGACTAATACATGAACTGTCAATGTTGCAGATACTAATACAATCTCACCATGGCATACCTTAATCAAACCACATAAATGTATACTTGATTCATGCAAAATGCGAGCTGGCAGTGCAACTACCGGGGGAGCTCCTTACATAACATACCAATATCTGTATCTTGATTATGTTCTATCGCGGTTGAGTCTCTTGCCAGTACTAGCTAGTAAACAGTTACACAAAAATGATGAAACTCGTAAGGCAAAGAATCGAACCCAGCAGTGCCGCTATTGGTTGCACAGCCAAGATGTTTCAGGTGACCACGCAAGTTAAGGGACGTTTATTTCTCAGAAAACGTACACAAACTAAGAGTCTTTCGAGCGTCCAGAAAACGTGAGCAATAGTCTTATGAGGCACCAAGGGAGAGCTCGTAGCTGTATATAAACATCAGACGTCGCAAACAAAGGGAAAACACTGGGACACATACGTCGTTGTGACATTCTTCTGTTTGAGCCCAGTAACATCCAGCGGGATACCCAATTTCCCGAAAATCGTGGCGGCCCTACAAATTATCAGCATCACAATCATTAATGTCAGCATCGTCCAAAACCCACCGCAATTTGACATCGGTATCAAGCAAATCCAGAAATCCCAGCGGGATGATGTCGAGCGATGCGGTCACGCCTTGGGTGAGCAACACGTTCTTTATCGTGCCTGAATCCGCGGTACCAAAAATGGGCACGACAAGGGGATCCGAGAAGGTGTGGTCGAAGGAGGCGAATTCGGTGGAGTTGATTCCGGCAGAGCTTGTGACGCACTCGAGGGTGAGCTCGATGGGGAGGGGGTTCTTTACTGTTCGGGTAGGTGTTAGGGAGAAACGGTAGGGATGGGAAGAGATCGCACCGGTGAATGCGATGCTGAGTTGATTGAAGGTCAGTTTGGGTATGGCGAAAGGGAAAGGACGGCATACTCAACAAGATTATCGACGAGCGTGTCCAGCTACATAAACGTCAGCTCCCGATATCGATGAAGCTGACAACACAAACATACAGTGATAGTCACGCTAATATTCGACACTAAGCCGATCCCAAGGCCATTGATGATATCCCCAATCGAAAGATCGGTCGATGTGGGGGCGCAACGGACCAAGGCAGCCAAGGAGACGAAAAGCAGACCGAACAGCATTACGCGCGCGGACGAGGGGGGCTTATAGTGAATGCATCCAAGTTATAAGCAGCAGAATGGGCCGTATGACGCGACGAAGCCATGTGAAATCGTCAGATGATACAAGAGCGTGTGGACCGTGTATCCTTCCATGAGAATCTGAATGGCGAGGATCATTGAGAACCGATCCAAGAAGCGAGAGACGCATGTGCAGGGCCTCGGAAGAAATATGATGAGAACAAAGTTTGCTTGCTGGAGGATTTGAACTTTGAAAACTCGACACAGGGCTGTAGCATGGTGGACGTACGAGAAAGAGAACGCGAGCCTCGTGGCTGGCACGTTTCTGATTACCTCAGCACACCGCCAACTCTGACTGCGAGTGGCAGTGTACCACGACGACTTCTTTGATCTCACGATGGGCCGCTGGACGCAATACGATGAAGTGAGTGACCTTTTTCATAGATTTGCCTCATGCTGAATACTGTTAGGACTCATACCGCCTGCCAGAAGGCATGGAACGCACTGGCTACGACTCGGACACCCAAACGTACTTTTACCGCGATGCGAATGGAGACACCTGGAAAGGCGCAGAAGGCGCAGAATATAGCGAAATGACCCGTGGTGTGTACTGTTGAGATTGATATGTACTGCCAGCTGAGAAGCTACAGTGTCCGGCGCTTCATCAAGCACCGAAGATATCGAAGCCGCCCCTCGTCGCGCAGACGGTTATCAACAGCTCGCTACTGACCTCGTACGTTGTTCTCGTCACTCAACCTCCCTTCCTCATTATCCTAGGATCGCCCTATGGTCTCCACGACCTACACCCCCAACCCCAGCGCCTACCGCACCCTCTTCCCATTCTTCCTCATCATCGCCGTCGTTCTCCTACTCGTCTGGCGTCTCATCCTCTCCCCCGGCTTGTCCGTGCCGAAAAACCCGTGCGCGCAAGGTATGCAGGCGTATTGGGTCCAGGCAGGCGATTCGTGCTGGGAGATCGCGACTAGGCATGGGTACACGCTTGAGGAGCTGCAGGGCTGGAACCCGAAGGTGGAGTGTGAGGTGTTGATGCCTGGGACGACGGTTTGCTTGCCGGGAGAGAGCAAGTAGGAAAAGGGAGAGTATCTATTGTGGATCATTTGGTGGATGGATGGACGCGTATCTCAATATTCATGTAGCTTATTCGCATGATCACTCTATGTAATATTTAAATAATAGACTGTCATAATATGCTACATCTGGCATTGCATCAAGCTCAAGCTACAAGACTCGTAGTTCTCTAGGATGTTACTTGTTTCAAGTGGGGCCAGTGCCCAAAAGGGTAGCGATGTGAACTTTCCAAACGGGAAGTATTTCGAGGTCTGACTATGAGTCCGTGAAGCCCCGCAACGACGATAGAAGGTAGAAATGGCAATGCAAAGGAGAGAAAGAACCCAAAAGAACGTGAGAAATACCTTGCAAGTTCAAGCATCTCCCAGCTTCCGCGAGAAGTCGTGCCGCGGCTACACGTCCAAGATTAAATGTCATAGGATTGTATATGTACCCATTTATTATGGGGGCATAGCTCAGCTGGGAGAGCAACAGACTGAAGTTCGTTCTTCTGGAGGTCCCCGGTTCAATCCCGGGTGCCCCCACTATTTTGAGCTCGACAAACGCATCTTTTTACAAAGATAGCTTCGAAGAATAGGGTAGCGCACGAAACCTCCAGGCAGGTAAGTAACCGTTTGTTACTGACTCCGCCCCAGGAGGGGTAGTTTTATTACGGCAACTTACCGTTACTTACCTATCACATGCACACTCACATGACTTGCGCGCGGCAATTGCAGATTTTTTTCAAGTTCTGTATCTTCGCGTTTTTACTTGTTTTCTCTCTCTCAGGAGCTGTTATACATCTGGAAGTACTGGATAGATCTACCACCATCTTGTACAAGTAATATACATATAATTGTAATGCTTATCTGACGGTCATATGATCGGTAAGTTACCTCCAAAAAAAATCCTTCCAGTGAGGGGAGGTAACTTACCGGTAATAAACCCAAGTGTAACGAAACCTAGGTTTCGTGCGCCACCCTATCGAAGAATCCAAGTAGGTACTGTAGCAAGAGCCTAGAAACGACTAATGAAAAAGGAGTGAGACTTGCGTTGAAGTCGCGACGTCCTTGGCGCTGTTTTGATATTTCTTATTGTTCTTACTCTTAGGTACTCGATTAATTGTCGTTGGTTCATAGGATTCAAAGAACTTACCACTATCCCCCTACAGCCGTTCGATACGGCAAGTGTGCTTCTCCTAAATGTGGCAGCTGCGAAATCAACAGTGTATGTATACACGGTCTCAAACCTATATTTGCTGCGCGACCCCGTTGTTTACGAGCTCTGGGCTCCAGGTTTCAAGTTGGGGAATGCATGATAAAATACTGCGCGACGGTTTCTCGACATATTCGGATCGAAGGTACTTTCGATTGCGACTCTCGCACGTACTCCATGTAAAAACAGGTCAAAAAATTGAATGATATATTTTTTGTGAATGTATGACTTGTACAGGTGAGGAGTGGGAAGAATGGTGGGATATTCGAGTTGTACATAGGAGCAGGGAGTCTACAGAGCTACAACAGTGAGATGATGGACGTAACAATCGTGACACGGGGACTTGGAGAATGAGGCGGCATGGAGGAATATCTATACAAGATACGACGGTGGTGCCGATGAATACGTGGTTAGTTTAGGAAGACCCCGATGCTTCACCGGAGGACCCCTCATCCGAGGGAGACTGAGAGCTCCTGCCGGTGCGTTTACGAGGACGTCTACCTTCCGGATTGGTGATATCAATGGCCCAGAGACCGCCTCTTCCAGGTTCGGTCACGGTACGCCCCATATTCCTGAAAAGATCGTGAGAGGACAAAGCGTGCTTGAGTGTTTCCTGCCAATGAAACCGTCGTTAGAACCGTGTTGACAAAAGCAATAGTGACATTCGGACGAACCTTCAAGGTACCCTCATTCTGTTGGAAATACTCAAAGCGCGCGACAAGTGCAGCTCTGATCTCAGCCGTAGAAGCCTTTTGGTGGGGGTGACTGTAGATCGCAGCCGCGGCTAATTGGATGATAGTGTAAGGAGGCCTTCCAGCCCTGTCCCGCGGATCAGTGAGGCTTTCAAGACGGACTGGGGTCCCGCGTGGAAGATTGAGGAACTCGCGTAGGTAGTCTCCGGGTTCGGGTAAATCGTATTGAGTGTCGGCCCTTGCGAGGAAGGGTGTGGAGTCGGGGGATTCGCGTTTGGGGATCGCTTGGGGGGACTGCTCGAGAGTGTGTCGGCGGTAGTAGCGAGGTCCGGGATCTAAGGACGCGAAGGGGGATGGAAGGCCGGTTACTGCAGTGACGTATCCGGGGGGATAGGGTGCAGAGGTCGAGGGGTATCCGCCGGGAGGTGAGTTCGATCCGCGCTGGGAAGGGGCAGCCTCGTAACCCTAAAGTATTGCTCAAATGAGTTCAACGTTCGTCTATTACCACGATGTACTCACCGTGCCGCGAGAGTATCCTGAAGCGTCGTAAGTACGCGCCGGTCCCGGTTGTCCTTCAAATTCATAGTCCTGAAATAGTATTATCGTGTAAGCCCAACAGACTTGGCGACTTTTATAAGGATACACGTACAGGTGCGAGAGAGCGCGTCCACATCTCATCGTGGGCGGGACTACTTGGTCCGGACGCCTCTGGGGAATTCCCTTGACCGGGAGACGGCGCCAACGGAGGCGAGTCATGACCCTGTATTTTCATGCCTCCGCCAGAGCCTGGCGTAAACGGCTGGTCTTCGTCTTCTCCAGCCCTCACATAGGAGCGAGGAATGGGAGGGTGACGGGACCTGGGGCCGCCATAGGGGGACATAAATTGGATATGGGAAGCAGGATACCCGGAATACATGGTTCCTGGTATCAAAGCTTAAGTCAGTCGCGTGGATGGATGGCGCAGACACGTACAAATGATGTCCGTGCAAGGCTGAATGTAAGAGAGGAGATTTAGAGAAAGAGTAGCAGATGCTAGAGCGGTGTTGTGGGACCACTGTTGGGACATACCGTGCCCCCACAGTTGGCTTTTATACCGATATGACCTACATCTTTTGGGCACTCCATACATGGCTATGTCCACGAATTGGTTTCGAACCGGTATCCGACGATTGGCTCCGAACAGTTTTTCTTGATAAGCCGCTCGAAAATATACCCTATCAAGAAGTTGATGAGAAGGACACGAGGCAACACTTTCCGGAGATGGACGATGTTGTTGGGGTTCGTTGGTGCATATGTACATCGCCGAGGTGCCGAAGGAGAGATAGCCATATCTGTACCTTCCTGTCAGGGTAATTTCGTTTGGAGGAGTCGTTGGAGTTTGTCGTCTGTATTGGAAGAGCAGGCTAAGCTAGAGAGATATTTGACGTGAAGAAACGGCTGAATAGAAATACTGTGGGAACGAGGACACCCCGACAAAGTCACTTGCATACTTATCAAAACCCGCACCATTCTACTTGACGAAGTGGGTCCAATTAAATGGTAGCGGTGATAGCAAGGCGTCCTTGCCGAAGTGGGGCCTCGTTCCCAAGCAACCCTAAGCGAGACCCGTGGTACCAGACCTTCGAAAGCTTCAACGTTGGCCTATTTCCGAAATTTGTGCTACGATTTCGAAAGAATACCTAGGACTGTTTTAGCGAAGTTGGTGGATATGTGGTAACGAAGGGTGTTGCGAACCTTGCTGCGAGAAAAGTGTTGAACTGATAGACGCTGAGAGCTTTGACGAATTAGACCCCTAATCTACATGAAAAGGGCCCTCATCCGCGTCAAATCTACCTCTGCATTTCTGTGCTGGATCCTGGGCCATTGCCTCTGTGTTGGACATTCTGCGCACGTGGGTGTCGTAGTTGTTGATCAAGGTCGAGTCGGCCCGAGAGCATCCGACTGCAAGCACGCGTACATAACGCGCCTGTGGCGCAACCGCCGTATATAACAAATGGCCTGTCTACTCTCCCCCTTGTACTAAAAGATATTACAGCATAATCCTAACTCGATGCGCTTGAATTTCAGCTTTGCACAATCACAGTATTCTTTTCTACGGTATGCCTAGTTAAGACGGATCTCAGCTCTTCCCCTAAGATAAAAGTGCAAAGGATATAGTGCAATGATCATGACCAATACTTGTTTCACAAAGTACTAGGTTGAAGGAGACAGCGAGGGCGAAATCAAGTTGAATTACCGATACCAATCATTCCACAACTAGCTCGGCAACTATGTTGGCTACCTCCTTTTTGCTCAAGTCCTCTGATACAGGACTCATGGGATCCAACGTAGGAATGGGACCCGTGAACCAGTAGATGCCGCCATATTTTGGGAAGTAGTACCATATCAACGAGAAGATCGTCACACCTCCCAGCACCACTACGGAGTAGTTCATGTCTTGTACAGTCGTTTGAGGAGTTGAAGGGAACATGAACACTACGCTCGTGAATGCCATGAACAGTACAGCTATCAGCGCGATCGGAAAGCTCTATACAACGAAAGGTCGTTAGAGATGTGTAGAAGTAAATACGATTCACGAAGACTAACGAAAATTCCGAGATGAAATGGTCCGGGCTTGAAGTCGTTCTGTCCGATAAAGCGGGCAGCGATCGGGATGCTGTATGCGACGTACAATGAGATGACGGATATAGAAAAAACCGCGTTGATAGCATTCTCCCCGGCAAACGAAAGTAAGCCTAGTAATATTGCGAATCCAGCGTCGAAAATAACAGTCTTAACCGGCGTTTCTGTGTAGCTGTTCATTCGATATAACCAATTGGAGAACGGAAGGGCTGCATATGATATGTGAGTCTAGTCTAAGATGTCTATGACGAGAATATCATACCTCGATCTCTGCTAAACGCGTATGTCTGTCTGCTGGCTGCTAGAAGCTAATGAACGGACGTTAGAAAATATTCTCCATCACCAAGGATAAGCGTACAATACTGGACCCCATCATGTATCTGCCAAAGGTAAAGTCAATATGGCAGTAAGAAAGACAAAAGGGTCGACGCACTGTACCAACACAATAATAGCCCAGATGCCTAACGTTCCTTTCTGCCCAAAACCGTTGAACAGAATCTGCGCCATAGGCTGGGCACTATCATATATCGCCTGAAGATCCGAGCCCATACAGAAAGCAAGGGTCATGTTGATTGCTGTAGATTCAACGTGAGTATGAATTATTGGTATTTGCAAAAACATACCCCAGCCCAACACTCCAGCAATGCCCACCGCCAATACGATTGCCCAAGGAACGACAGTGGTAGCGTTTGACGCTTCCTCGCTTATGTGGACACTGGAATCGAATGAACCTATAGCACGATTATTCATACATTATTTCTTTTGCCGTAGCAGTGGAAGCGTACCAATAGTCCAAAGCGGTGCCAAAAAACTCAATATGAACGCAAAGCCGTCTGTCCATCCGTTGACTATGCAAGAAATGATAAGCGGGACATAAAACGAATCCCGGAAACGACACACGATTGACAAATTCGCCCAATGCAAAGTGTGCGGTGTTCTTAAATTCCGACGGAGTAACAATAGGCAGGGCGATAATAATCCCGAGACAGAGCCTGTCAATGTTATCGTATTAGAAC